TGCCTCAAACAATTCTTTGAAGTGATCTCCAGTTGCACATACGCTTTGAACTGACTTCAAATGAATAGCAGAGTTCACATTGCGTATACGCACCAGTAAACCTTTGAGTAACCCCAGGTACTTTGCATTGCTCTTGAATGTGGCCGTATCATTACTCTTTCACTTACTAACAATTACCTACATAATTCAATAGAAAATTCGAATCGATAGAAGTGGACCACATCTGGCATGGCTCCAACATTCACATAACGTATACGCACAATCGGACCAGGCAAACTAATTAACAGTTGCAAAGGCACAAAAACAAACGCCAATCATAGCCAGAATGAAACAGAGCCCAGCTATGAATCGGCCATCGATTGGGCATCAGCATAACTCTCACTAATTACGAACGCTGCGTTCGCACAGATTTGCACAAAAAGCCGATTAGCTGTCCAAAGGACATTTCCAATGGCATTTGCATTTGTGTTTGAATTTGCATTTTGTTGATCCCCTTACACGGCAGCAACAGCAGGAGCGGCAGCCGGAGCAGCAGGAGCAGCAGTGGCATCAGTTTCCCTCTACGTAAGCGCATATGACAGGACGACACTTTGACACATGAATAGAATTGAGGCAAACACAAGGATGGCGCTTACATTCAGCTGTTGCTGCTGCTCCTGCTGCTCCTGCTGCTCCGGCTGCTCCGGCTGCCGCTCCTGCTGTTGCTGCTTCCTTTTTCTGTGGCCTCGCATTGTAAGCCACTTAATATGGCAACGGGTTTCAAATTCATGTCACGCCCGACACTGACAAAACACGTAACAGCATTGCAGTCGAGCCAGTCCGACTGAATAATACACGCTCATAGTACAGAGCAGCTTTGCTTGATGCTATGACAAGACCTGTTGATGAGAGATGATACTGAATCACATAGAGAAACGGTATGACCATAGCTTTAGAAATTAATTAGATATACAATAGTATTATTTTGCTATTATTTCCACGCCTTCTAAATACAAATCTTGTTAGACGTTAAAGACTCTATTAGACAAGAAGATAAAAGTGTAAAGCCACTGCGAGCAATTTAATAACAAAATATTCACAGAATTTTAATTAAAATAAATTTTATATTATTTCATTATTATTTATTTCTATATTTAAAAACTTTTTCAATATCTACTCGAACAACAAATATGCTCATTTTCACTTCGTAAGCCGTCGAGCTTAGCTCGCTTAGCTCGAGCACAACAATCAAGATTTAAATATTTAGCATTTTGTGAGATTGAAAAATATGAAATAAAGAATTCATGTCTTACCTCGCTGCATAGTTGTGTGGGCTGAGGCTTTAGTTTAGCTGTTAATTAGTTTTCCTATCAGTCTTGAGCTGACATTGATGTGTTTTCATTGTCTAATCAGTGCTCATATTCCGTGTGGCATTTGCGCAATGTTCTCGGATATTTTAGATTATTACGGAAACAAAAACTGAACTGCGAGCTGGCCAAGCGTCTCACCTGAGGGCCGCTTGACTGGCAAATACTGTGCAGACTGGGCCGAGCACCGCATAGCATGCAACAGAAGCAGCCCCCCGCGCCCTGCACCTTGGCCAGGCTGGCTCGTAGCACACGCCTGACTGACTCGGCCCTAAGCGACTGTTTTGTATACCCTGAATACATTAAAGAGGAGGAGTATATCTACATACAAGCATGTGCTCGGCATATGCATATAGAGAGAGGACGAGAGAGAGAGGAAGAGAGAGAGAGAGAGTTAGATACAGACCACAGCTGAGATCCATAGACTCCATACATTTATGAAGAGAGATAACTCCTTCTAAATATCAGAGACCTGAGAACTTGTAGTTTTAGTCGTTCACTCCAGCTGTCATTGTCTGTCTCTCTACGTTTCTCAGGTAATGGATATCTAATAGTCGTTCACCCACCACTAGCTCAGCCTTTCTCTGGAGATATCTCAGCTGCCCATTGTCTGCATCTGGCTCTCTCTCTCTCTCCCTCACTCTCTCCCTCTCTCTCTCTCTCTCTCTCTTTGTCTCAGGTGTTGGGTAACTGATAGTCGTTCACTCCCTACTCGCTCATTTTAACTCTGAGGTGTCTCAATTGTTGCTTTGGTCTAGCAGCCCGCTGTCTATATCTATCTCTCTCTCTCCCTCTCTTCCTCCCTCCCATTCTTTCTCTCTTTCCTTCTCTCATTCTCTCTCTCTCTTTCTTTTGTCTCCCTGCCTGTTTATATTATGAAATAAAATCAAGATTTTCATCTTCTTCACTGGGTCGCCATGGCTGGCCAGGCATTAGCCTATCCAATTGAGTGCTTCCACAGCCAGTGCCAGTGCCACTCGGTAAACAATTGCCCGAGCGCTAAATGTATGCCATATTCTATTAATAATTTGATTTCTGGGTCATAATATTAAAAGTCCTTGCTTTAATCGAATCGAATTGTGTCTGGCAAAGGCATAAATGAATGTTTGCTCAACTAATTCGATTCTCTATTGATTATCGTGCACATTATAGTTGGCGAATCGCGTTTATATCGGCGATAAATATCAACCACAACTTACTATATGCATTAGAATAATAAATACTCTTTCTTTCTGTGCATAAAATTTAAAAATTGCTGACGACTCCAATGGCAATGGGTCAGCTGTAAAAATGGGAACTCAAATGGAAAATCATGAATGTTTTATGCATACTCGTTCGCAATGTCAAGGGTGGGAGTAAAGTTGAATATACATATATATTATATGAATACTCACATTAGCTCATCTCACAGAGTCTTTAGAGGCAAGCCGAGAATAATTATGCAGCATAAATACTATGGTTAATGGCTTTACGCAAGACTAGAGACGTGTCTACCGAACCCAGCTGGAAATGTCAGGGTTACAGATGGGAATAGGTATAGGTATATTATATAACTGAATTGCTCAGTCTTTGCTCAGACTTTTCATAGTATATTACACACCAGACGAGTATTATATAGTCACTTATGCTCGCCTATTTTTCTCCCAATTCCATTTGAAATTTTTATTGCAGTGGAAATTTGTATATTTCTGTTATGCCTTGTTTAATTGTTGAAGTTCCATTTCCGTTGTTTATTATTTATCTTACATTTATCGCCTTTGAGTAACTTTGATGTTTGCTTTTTTATTATTTTTGGGCTTTACTCATGCATATTAAAATGCCTATGCGTTATTTACACACACATACACACAAGAGCCACAAATCCTAAAATTGCAGTATATACATATATCAACGTATACATATAAATATTTGTGGGTGATTTTGTGGCCGAGCATATTGGAAATGGAAATTGAAATTTACTTTCCAAATTGATTTCGTTTGAAATCGCAATTTTTTCTATGAATCGTGATTGGTTTTCATAACGTGTAAATAATTTGATATTTAATATTTTATTGCATTTAATTAAAATCTGAAATGCCATCAGAAAAACATGCCAATGATGAAGTCAATGATGAAGTTTTAGCACTGCATATTTCACTCACATTTTACACAATTTGCCGTTTGCATATTTCTGTTTTTTCTTTCTCAGTAAATTTAACTCAATCTCTCTCTCTCTCCCCCTCAATCACAATATCTTCCACATTGTTTATCTCTCTCGAGTGCGTACTATAAATGCGTTAAAGCGGGTATATTGGCTTGTAGGAATCATATGTCTGGAAAAGAGAAAGTTTATCTTTTCCTCTTTGCCTTTAGAAATACCAGAGCTAATGGGTATAAGAGTGTAAGAGTATAAGTGTAAAAAAATAATGTATAAGAGCACAATAATATAATGTAAGTATGTAAAAATAAAAATATAAGTTTAAGTATCAGACTAAGAGTATAAGAGCTTGAATTTATGTAGCTCAGGCCTTCAGTGTAGAATTTATGGAACGTGTAGATCAGCTACTCTTCAGCGAAACCCATGAAATCGATAATTATCGATTGTTTAATAGATAAATTCGTTGTATATAAGTGAACCTATCTTCTTACTGTAAGTTTTATTAGCTTTAGAAAGAGTAACAAAAGAATGATAGGTCAGATATCGATTTCTGTTTCTGATGATTCGACAAAAACTCTGCTGACGATGGAACCAGAGGGTTTTTGATGTTGCTATAGCAAATGTACACAGCATGCTCACTTTTATGGCTTCTTTTTTCTCGCATTGTTGATTGCTAATAAAAGATTCTCATTAGGTATAAGCAAATAAGAAGTACTCGAATTCATCTTGGGGCATCTCCCCCAGTTCGCGCCGTTTCACTCAATGTTTAAGCTTCGCATTGTTGTGCTGTCTCCGGGCTCAGGCCTCAGGGCTCTGGGTTCTGGTTACGCCAAAAGAGATTCACGCCCTGAAATTGAATGCTTTATTTGCGCTAATTGGTTGTCGTCCTTTCGCCGTTGTCCTTTTGCCAGGGCGCAGCTGAGCGGAGCTGCGGTCTCATATTACCAATGCCATAAATATAATTCCCTGTCTCTGGTGTCGAAAATTTAATTAACCTATTGCCAATAGATAAATCGAATAAACAAAAAAAGGATTCAAAGACTCCGTTAAGGAAAGCTCGGTTACTAATCATTTAGTTAATCTATTTTCAGAGACCTGATAAAAATGGTTTAAAGCATTGCGACTCAAGCTCTAGAAATTTGAAATGCGAAATAATAATAAACTCTTCAAATATTGTTTCACTTTACCCTACTATATTTACGAAGCCCTGAGTCATCGACTCGATGACGTCATAGTTTATACAATCTGCTCAGAGAGTATATAAAATGTGATTCAGGCTCGTATCGGGAATGCCTGTTGATCGATAAAAGTTGTTCTTATCTCTATCTCGACCGAGAGAATTGAAAATGAAACGCAGCAATTGACAGGCAATGTCTCACAAGACTAAAAAACAGGGAAAACGTCAGTCACATATCACAAATATTTATATATGTTCAAGTGCTGGCTGCTCTTTCAATAAATTCAAGTGTTCTTAACCATGTGCGATTCAGTATTCACTTAGCCATCGATGCGAAACGAGCAAACTATTTAAGAAATAAAATAAATTATATAGAGTTTAAGAAAAAGTTTCAAGGAATAGAAGCGTAAAACTTAATAAACTAATTTCAAATTTTTGTTTGCTAACTTTCCTGTGAGCATAAATTTAAACACCAAGAAGCCATTTTAAAACATTAAATGAATAAAATTTGGTTAGGGAAAAACTTTAAAGCCATTTAATTATTAATAATAATAATTAAAAAACAAAGATGGAAATATTTTAAATTTGTGGATTAAATTTTAAAAGTGAATTATAAATAGAAACGAAAAGACCTGGACATAGAAATATTAAACATATTAAATACAAATATTTAATAAAATTTAAAAGTATAAATTTGAGTTTTGATTCATTTTACACACTCAAAAAAAAAAGCTCACATATGAATCTAATAAAATAAAAATAAATATAAGTATTTCAAAATAATAAACTACTTCTGATTGAAGGCTAATAAAAAAAATAAAAAAAAAAACTAACTACAAAAAATATTTATGTTAAAATAAAACGTATTGCGCTTCAACAACATTTAAAAAATAATTAAATATATTAATAATTTTTAATGAATATCTAGAACTGAACATACAGCACAAAATTGAAACATTTGTTCTTTAAACTTCAATTGAAGATTTGAAAATGAGCTGAAAATTAAGTGAAAAAAAAAATATTGGAATGATTTACACATTGAAAATGTTGTCCTCCGCTTTTAAAAAGAAGAATGAGAATTAAACGAGCCTTCGTAAAAAATATATACAAATATTAAATAAAATATATCAAAAAGAATTAATTTAAATTTGAAAACATTTGTCCTGCTCAACTAAGTAATATTTATAACTTGAGTAAACAGTGCTCAACTTATGTAAATAAGTTTTGAAACCTAGTCAAGGTGCATGCATGTGTGCGTGTATGTGTGTGTGTATGTGTGTGTGTGTGTGTGTGTGTGTTTCGACTTTAGAAGCAAGCACAGTTCTGTGAGCTCCACTTCAAAGTCTAAACAAGTCTGACCACTTTGGTTATGCTGGTTAGTGGCAAAGGGCGCCACAATAATTCGAAGGCTATGTTGGATAGAGATGAGGGCAGAGGCGGGAGGGGAGAGAACAAAGGAGAACAGTTGTCGAAGCAAAAGTAATACAAAAGTTAACCACAAGACGAAACATGTAACAAAAAGCAAAAAAAAGGGCAAAAGAAAAATTATTATGCTAAACTCGATGTCTAATTTAAAACAAGTTGCAAAGTCTGGCGAAAAGCCGAAAACAGAACCACAATAAAATTTGCAGTTGGCAAAAGTTTCGGGGCTCAACTAATTGAGATTGAGTTGGGGCCAATAAAACTTGACGAATGATGATGAATTTTCATTTTCACCCCCCTTTCGCCATTGCAGACCGACTCGAACCGAAGGATATGAACCGAACGACGCAGACTAAACTCTGCCATGCACTCCCAGTGCTGCTGCTGACGCTCCTCCTGCTCTGCGTGGATCACACAGCGAGTCGCCCCTCGACCGAGAACGAGGGCGACACCTCAACCTTGCCGCCTGGTGCTGACAATATTGAGGTACTACGAGCAGCTGAGGCTGAGACTTTGCTTCGACTCTCACTTGAACTATTTTATTTCTTACACAGATTCATCATGTGGAGGTCGTGGATGGCGTTAACCACGAGGATCATCCGGTGATCATGTACAAGGAGGACTTTGTCAACGAGGATTACGGTAAGCACTGAACACTGCCGAGTGACACAGCTCAGCGGGAATTAGCAGACAAGAGCGAGACTAGACTTTGCCGACAATTTAAATGAGTTTAGTGCGAAGTCGAAACGGGAATCGCTTTATAATGTGTCAGGATTCAGAGAGAGCGCAGTTGAGTTACCTATAATACCCTTTGACATTTTTTGATTATTTTTCCATTTGAAAGTCTTTGAAAGCTCACATTTTTCATCACCAAGAGGTCAATTCATGAACTTTCTAATCAGTCGAGCCACATCCGCTTCTACCTCTCAGACTATATCTTTTAGACAATAGAGATATTTCTAGAATGTAAAATGGGATAGAGAAAAAATAATTTGAGATACCCTAAATGCTTAAAAAAATTTGTCGATCGATTATTGAAGCATATGATTAATTCAATCAATAATCAAAAATTTTTTTAAAATCTTTTGTAAGATATTAAATTATAGACAATTTTACTAATAATTTTTCTAAATAATCGATTATGGTTTAAATTTATTGCAACACATTTCGCGATTCAATTAAATCGCCAGTGGAACCAAAAAATCGATTATTCTATATCATAGAATTAGTCGTACCACCACTAGCTGCAGAGCCCCCACTAGACCGCTTCGATTTGATAAGGCTCTTTGTAGTTTCAGACCGCCTTGCTGATAGCTAAAGTTCTCCAATTTCTACCACCATTCCAGATCCGACTAAAAATGAGACCAAGTCCATCTACCCCAAGCTGTATAAGCGCACACAACGCACAAGACATCATCATAGTCGAGCCACTGCGCAGCCAGCGGTGGAGGAGGAGAAGATTCTGTTCGATGTGCTGCCCGAGACGCCGCTGATATTGAGCGACGACGACGATAAGAGCAAGCAGCGGACAGAGGAGCCGACGAAGGAGGCGTCACTGCACAAGTATCCCAAGAAGTATCACCGCCGTCATCGTCGCCACGCCTACAACCAGAATGTGCGCCAGCTGTATAGAAACGACCTCTATGCGCCACAGCCAGAGCCAGTCTACTATCACTCAGTGCCGGCGCCCCACTATCTGCCCATTCGGCCAGTGCAATACTATCGGTGAGTTCTAAAGACAATGCACTAACTGAGCTGATATTGATAAGGAATACTTGTATATAATATATAGCTATCCAACGATTGGCAAACCACCAAAGTACCAGGGAAAACTTCCCTTCTGGCGGACTGATGCGCCGCCCAAGGAGCCCGCAAGTATCGGCACTCGCCTCGATACCGATGACGAGAACAGCCTCTTCCACAACTCCAATCCGGCTGACGCAGACTTCTCTGTGTTCGATCAGCCCCAGCCGAATAACACGATTGCGGACCAAAACAACAATAACAACTACTGGCCCGTGCAAGGTGAGTTGGACCCTTAAATATTTATCGAATTGGCAAAGTCATCAATTTTGATACAACTCGCAGAAGTAGAGCAGCCACCAATTTGGAGTCCAAGTGAAGCTCGCCGACCAGGTAAGCCCAATCGAGCCAATTAGACTTTGCTTTGTTTGAGTTCGCTCTTATCATTCATTAACGTGGCTAATGAGCTTCTCTTTGTCTGACAAGTTGGTTATCTAGCTAAGCCCTTCTCTCATACGCTTTTGATTATTTGTGTTCTGTCATCCCGTCCGCATATATTCCGTAAAAAACTTGACTAACAATCCTCGCATCATCTTCATCTTCTACTCCTTCTTCTTCTTCTTCTTCCTCTTCTCTGTCAAACTTACATTCACCTTCTTGTTACTACGCCACAGCACGGATACCAACCACGCAACCGCCACCGTGGTCCAGCGTGACCAGCGCACCACCGCGACCCACCACCGCCAAGGTGTCCAAGTGTGTCTGGGCCATTGTCAATTGCTGCTCGCAGGGCAGCACCAAGATTCGCTACAATTGCTTTGAGGAGTTCGGCTGCCATGGCGCCTTCTGGGGCGTGAATCCATGTGCCGAAAACATTCGCACCAGCGCGATAGCCAGTCTAGCGTGAGCGATCAATCGCTGGGTCGATAGACCGATATGTCGATGTAGAGCGAGGCAATCAGCGAGAGTCGCTCGACTGCCGTCAAGTATGTCAAATATTTATAGCTATACAGGAAAACAATTTAATTTATTTTAAGCTTTCATTTTATATTGAAAATAAAGAAATCTTTTTGATCAATACTAAATGCGACCCGGTTTTTGACTAAATTCAACAATTGTGATAACGCATGCTTATTTAATACTCGATCTGCACTGGAAAACACTCCGTCCGTCTTGGCTATCTGTCCGTAAGACTCTAAGTCGTTTTTCCGGATAGACATCCAGCCATCATTCCGTTTATCTGACCATCCCTCTAATCGCAAATCTATTTATCGATCTACTCGTCCCTCTCGCCGTACATCCGTATATCCGTTCGTTCGTCTTTCTATTTCTATTCATTTATACTTTTGTCTATATGAAACCATTGGCTTATAGGTATAGTCGTATATATTTTATAAAGAGGGAAGATATGAGCAGTCGGGTATAAACGATATACAGTTTACGACAAGGACAACACCTCTCTTTCTCTCTTTCTCCCTCTCTCTCTTCCTCTCTCTCTTTCCCTCTCTCTATCCATCTCTCTTGCACAATTTCTCAAAATTTCTCATTTAAGAACGTGTCAGTCTTAACACTTTCTATAGACTGACACGCCCACAATGGGTTGGCATATCAAAAAATCAACATCTTTTACACTTTTTGGAGTGGACTCATAAAATGCAGCCGTAAAATGCTAAATCAATTCCTCTATAATAATATTTCCATAACTTATTGACAAAGTCAATAAAGACCAACTGTTATTCAAGCGTGAACGTGTATGAAAAGTCGGTGACAGCCAACTGCAATGCTTGTATTTATTTTGGTGTGGATCTATTGTATATCTCTATTATATACTATTTATTTATCTTGCTTATTCTATTTTCTTCTTTATTCTTAATGTATCTATTATAACCATATGCTGTCTTACTGCAACGTCTCATTCAATTCAAAGTTGCTTGAGTCTGTCTGGAGTGAGGCATTATCTAACCCACATCTGCCGCAAATGTGTTGCATGCAACAATCGCTTCTGTTGCCACAGCTACTAACTGCATAGTGTTGGGTCTCTGGGGCGCTGCGCCCAGTGCTTGGTGGAGTGTAAATGCATTAAGTTCTTATTGGTTGGCTAATCACCCGCTTGCATGCGCTCACACTTCCATTTCTTCCACTTGCAGGCATCAGCGCGCCCGTCTTCCAGTCGCCCCCTTGGGCCATAACGCTCCAGCCAAGGCCCCAGACACTGCCTCAGCCACAGCAACAGCCACGTCCCATGTTTCGACAAGGTGAGCTGAGTACATATAGAGCCATGTGTGTCCGAGGGGCTTTGCCAGCTAAATCGATTTGATTTGTTATTTCGCAGATGCCGTGCTATTCCCGCAGGAGTCCAGCTATGCATCAGGCACGGCCTGTCATCGCGCCTCGCAGCAGTGCTGCAGCCTGGAATCGCTGGGTCCGCTTTACGACTGTTTTCACCGACGGGGCTGCGAGCAACACCTCGCTGAAATACTCTCTACTTGCTCTTAGTCTTTAATCAGTTGCATCACCCATTCGCCAAGAAGAAGAATCAAACTGAATATTTTGCTTAAATCTCGACATCAACATAAATCTAAATAACGTCAGCTTTTCGGCATTTGCTGGCTCGAGAAACTCGCATTTCAGGCACATTTGAAAACTTTTTTATAAGAAAGATCCCTAAGAATAAGAAAAACGCTTCTCTTATCTTTAAAATTTTTGAAAAATCTTTTTTTTTCCACAGAGTTATTAGCTCTTTTAAGCTGATCTACTCATATGTTCGCTTCGCTTGCTCAACAGCTGATGTCTTGTTAACAAGTATGAATTTTACTATCATTTCATAGAGTAGAAGTACCACATACTCAGATATCTCAAGTCAAAATTTGTGTCTATCCCTTTCGGAAGTGGTCGAGCAATTGATTTCGGTATTCCTGTTTCTGATTTGAAAGCAGTGCTTCGACATGCCTGTTATTGGAGTTTTCATAACTCCATATTATCAACGTGGTACTGTACCTTCTCATCTATATCGATTCAATATATGCTACATATGCCTCGCTTTTGTTTTCCTAGAGCTTGACTACTATTTTCATGCATATTATGGAACAACAGAAATCTAGTCGAATGCTTTGTTTACATTTCCCAACAAACAGTTGTTTACACACACACACACAGACACACCCACACACAATTATAAATTTAATACTCGTACTCGCCTAACATAATATTTACATATAATTTAAGGTATATATTGTTCAGACTATAAACCAAAACTAATAAATGCTCACCACCGCTAACAATTTTGTTGTTGTTTACTTATATACATTTATATATATATGGTATTAAGTATATATATATGTTTCAGCTGCAGCCAATTGGCATTCCTTGCGCTTGGGCCATCCTCGAATCCTTCACATATTCAATTCCCTCGACAGCTGGCTGACAACTTGACAACAAATCTCAGCTGATTTAATTTGTCAGCCTAGTGTCACTCGCAATCGTATTTACAGACCTTCCAGCGACCCTCTAAGCCGATTACGTTGCGGTTTTAATAATGCCACGCCCACTCGCCTGCCATTGTCTCTCTGGCTTAATTGATTTGTGTGTTTCGTTTGTTGTGCTGCACAGAGTTGGTCAGCCACTTCTGAACTGAAATAAACTGAAAGCTGTTGCTGAGGCAAGGCTTAGCCTATTGAAAGGGGCTTAAAAGGGCACGGATCAGTGCACAGGGTACACTACTAAGAAATGGATCAGCATCAAGTGCGAGTCAATATAGCTAAAGTTCTTCTGGCTGCCTTTTACTTTGTTCGGGAGCATTTCTAATGCCTCTGTATTATTTATACGACTGTTAAATCTTCCTTCTCTATGAGTGTCTACCTTCTTTTACATCCTATGTAGATGCGTTTCGTTAAAAATATCGTTACCTGTTCAATAGAAATCGTTAACAAATATCTTTGACATATCTAACTCATAGTTAGATATCCTGGAACACCATTCAAAAATTCTAAGATTTAACCACATTCAAAAGAGAATTTATTTAAAGATCAGTTCTTTGAGACAAAAATTTACATTTCAAAAATGTTCTCAGCTCCCAAGAACTCTAAAAAAAATCTACAAATTGTAAATTACGCACGAGCTACTGTGATAATCCAGATCAAAGGATTAGTGTAAAGGAGAAATGATTTAATAAATTAATCAAAAATCTAAACTGCTCAGAGTCAAATCTCATTCCCTCCCAACCAACTTCAAGACTATAAAATTTGCAAGTAATACAATTTCGAATGAGGTAAGTAAAGTGCTTGACATGCTTCCCAAATAGATATATTTAAGTTTATATGCTGAAAATTCTATTGATGAAAATTATCGATACAAATATACCCGAGTTAAGCAAGTCGGGAAAGTGACTCAGAGTGCAGAGTAGAAGAGAGTATCACTTGGTCAGGCACTCCCCTCCAAGAGCACTCTAGGGCACTAGACATTGTTACTATCGGTTGGTCTTACAAGTACTTACCGCTGCCGCTGTCATAGGATCTGGAGGTGGAGCCACTGGTATTGGAGCGTTTAATCTCACGTCGACCCATGCTCTCTCTGTTTGTGGTTTCTGGCTGACAGGTGGTTGGGGTTGGGGCTGGTGCAGGCGCCGGAGCTGGGGCTGTGGACGAATTGCTGGCCACGTGGCACGTGGCAAGTAGAGCACAAGCAGTTGAAGCAGCCGCTTTGGCAACCGCAGAGCTGTAGCTGCTGCTGTTGTAGTTGTTGTTGTTGTTGCAATTGCTGTGGCTGTGGCTGTTGCAGCTCGTGCCGGGATTGCAGTCGAGCGCTGGTGTGGAGACTGCAGCGGTGTATCGATTGGCCAGCAAAGAGCTGCCGCTGCGAGTCGGCGATGGGAACTCGAAGTAGTTGAACTGCTGTCGATTGCTGAGCAAATTGATGGCAGGCTTCGCTGCCAAGCTGCTGCTGTTGCGTCTGTATTGTGGATGCTGTTGCTGCTGATGTTGCTGTTGCTGTTGCTGCTGTTGTTGGTGCCTTTGTTGGTGCTGACTGGTGCTGGCGTTTGTTTGGATCTGATGCGGCGTGGGCGGCGGCGGGGGACAGGCGCTGCTGCTGTTGTTGATGCTGCTGCAGCTGCTGCTGCTGTTGGAGTAGGACGATTTGCGCAGTGATGATGGTCTCAACCCTTTGACAGGGTACAATGGGTACTATCGCCCGGCAACGCGTACCCAATCGCGGTGGTCTCGCTCACTGTTGTACCAAATGCCTGCAAAGGAAAGACGACAAGCGTTAAACAACATCATCATTATCTTGGTCATCATCATCATCATCGTTGTTGTCTTCATCTTTATTTTCATTTTTATCTCAAGCATCGATAAGCACATTAATTCTGCTTGCAGATTAAAGCCAAAGTGCACTTAAACGCTCAGCTCTGGCGCGTGGCTGGCATTTGTAACGCACATTGCGTATACGCAGTGCCCCGCCCCGTTAATGCTCGTAAAATTCAGAGCGCGCTGCCATTAACCGAACCGTCTGGGCCCGGCCTCCGCATTACGAACAGTCAGTGCCAATTTAACCAAATATTTGGCACATGAAATCATTTTGTGCTAATAAAATTTCACAGCCCACTGGGCGGATCATTGATTTGCTGTAAAACGCACAAACCACAAAGCTGACCACGGGTCACCCAGCCACCCAACCACCCAACTATCCAACAGCCTTTACAATTTGCGCTTAATGTAGCTGTCATATAGGGTTTGCCCCACCAGACACTGAATAATATCAACAAAGTTCATAAGTTTCGAGCAAGCATTAGTAAAAGTTGCGCATCAACACTTAATGGAACTCTGACTAAAGCCTAACAAAGTCGAGTCGAATGGAGTCGAATGTGCTATGTGTCAGGACAATAGCCGAGTCGAAGCCAATTCAAATCCCACTCGAACACCCTTCGGATTGGCGCTACTTACTTCAACTGGCGTCTCAGTTTTATGGTGCAGCATCGCTACACTGGAAAGTGGTTTAAGCAAAGAGCAAAACTATTGCAGTCGGCATGCTTGACTAGGTAATACCCTGTACCGAGTATAACAGGACTCTTTCATAGGCAAGTATAGTATTATAGATATGTATGTGTATCACTAGCTCTTTGACCAATTGACCGATTCTACATGGGTTCTCATTGAGCGACCTCAATGAAAATTCAAGACTTGAGTCTATTATCTGAGATTTTCTGTTTTACATGTTTATTTCTATGCATGCTATGCTTACGTTTACATTATCCTAAACTACAGAGCAATTTTGATGTTTTACCTTTTATGGAATTGAGGTTTTGTGCTCAAAACCAACTTGAACTAATGATATTTATCGATATTAATCGAATGTGAAGAGATTTCGAAAGAAAATATTTAATTTGCGCTGCTCTCAGTATATAAGAATGTGCATTAAAAATTGTAACTAACTAGCTCTAGTAGCTCTCGAGATCTGGAGCAGGTGATTAGGTCAGAGCGATCTGCTTTGGTTCAGCTTCTTCTGTGGATTAAAAGTATATATATGCATATACTTTATGGAGTCGCCCTCAGTATCACTCTCTCGCTCCCGTTCTCTCTTACTGTCTCTTCTCTGCTCCACCTGTTATATATGTATACTTGCACAAACCTAATACAACCTGTTTACTCATCCATTTGCAGTGACTTCAGGATGCATAATGCATGGAGCCAGATGTCTTAGAGGCATGCAACGCAATAGGAAATCAACCAACGTCGCACAAGTGGAAATCTAAATCAATAATAATAAAATGATATTAGAGTGCTGCACAGAGAAAGAAAGAGAGTGAGAGAGAGAGGAGAGCGAGTGCTCAACAGGTAGCATTTGCAACGCAATATGGAGACTTGATTAACTTAACAGAATCGAATCAGCTTGCTATTGGCTTGGCAATGACAAGTCAAGTGCAGCGTCTATTGAGTGAGTTTGATGGGGAAAACTAGTTTTCCTGCTATTTAATTATGTTGTGCATCCGTCGCATCCGTCGGTCTACCACAAAAGCAAATGAGGCTCGAGCAGGGAAACCACGGCAAGTGCCACTTGCCACTCGATGGAGTGGACAAGGGAATGTGCCCAAGGTGAGCTGAAATACAATTCCATTGAAATGTCATGCTACGGCTTCTAATAAGCAAATGCCAGACTCTGTGCGTCGAGCGTGAGGCGAGACATGAGCGAGAGAGAGGAAGACAGAGGCAGAGACAGAGACAGAGACAGAGAGTGAGGCACAAAGTCTTACCACGAAAAGTTGTACAGCTTCCGTTTTCATTTATTGAAGCGAAGCAACAAGCTGATTTGCTCATTTGCCCAGTCGATAGCAGAGGTCGCCTCTATAGGTAGGTATACTTGTAAAGCTCTTGGCTCAGCTCAGCTGTGCACCAGAATATCAAGGTTGAATGCTCTAATTCCAATGCAAGCGGAATAGAAATAGAAAGAGAGCAACACACAGAGAGAGCGAGAGAAAGAGAGAGAGAGAGAGATATGTGTGTATGTATGGAAGGACGAAACTCAGTCTTCCACATGTTGCCTCTAATCGTTGCGGATTTGAATTTCCATAATACGACGCCAGCTAGGAGAGAGGCACAAGGATGACGCCACCCAACACGGAGAGCGGCAGCTAAGGAAACAAAACGAAAAGAGAACACATAAGAGAGGATCAAATGCACGACTAACAGATACCCTGCCCAGCATGCTAATCTGATGTGGGATATATTGTATAAAATATATATAGACAATGGAATACGACAGAGAGATTTGTATATAAGCTATTATTACATATGCTTATATATGGAGTGAAGCGAAGTGGCAGAAGTATTTCAGGAGACATTCTTATCGTAGGAGATCACACAAAACAAGCTTGTTAGCTTTAGAACGAACTATGCTCAGATAACTGAAATTTAATATCGATCATTATCGATTTTTACGATTCGATGATTTGAAGTCGATTGGCACTTGGATGGAGAGAGAGAGGAATAACATCGACTAAGCTGCTGTTCGCTTCAGCAAGATCTATATACCCGTTCCTATACATTTTTCATGACTAAAAAATCGACGTCAAGCCCAATGAATCTCATGGTTCAGTTCCGTCTGGCCAAGCAAGCTAGATCAGGCAGCCGGGTCCGGATTAAAGCATCAAATTGTTAGCTGATGGCATTGCCTACATAGATCAAAGCATGCCACAAGCCTTGTCTCCATGCATGTGTGTGTGTGTGTGTGTGTTCGTATTTCGTATTGTGCTTCATTTGTCTATAGGACTCAACATCGTCAGTTATTCATAGACAGATAGAGGGAGAGAGAGAGAGTGGAGGACAACGTTTTTTAATCAATTGCTCAACTCACTCCATCAATAAGGCCAAAATGTTAGACAGGCAAAATGAATAATGTCTTGGCATTGCCAATGCTTCTATTATGATTGTTGTTGTTCTGTCGTTGTTGTTGAATTACTGCTGAGCAAGTGGAAAATGTGAGTTTCCTCTTTGTTGCCTCCGCACTCGCATTCTCATTCTCATTCTCATTCTGATTCGCATTCCCATTTCATTTTGCCATTTTGCCCCGTTTTCCTTTTCCGCTTCCTTAACAGTCGCCGTTATGGCATTTGCCATATGCCCTGGTCACAGCCTTTGAGCATGTCAATTTTTTCGTTTCAATGAGCCAGCACAATAACAACAACAGCAATATCAGCATCACCTGCGTTTCCCTAGTGGACCGACCCCATCGAAATTTTAAGTTCATATACAGTTAAGCTCTGCTAAGCAGCGAGGCTATTAAAGCGCTGACTCCTCACGGTTCAACAGCTAAATGGATTTTATGACCCAATCCCATTACGAATGTGAGGTCAATTCAAGACAACTGAAAGGATAGCAGAGAAGATTTGGTTTTTTTTTTTTTTAATTTCTCTCAAATTTGTATATTCAGCTTTATTTAAATACTATAATACTCTTTTTCTAAGTGTCTTCAGTTTTTAGACTATTCATCTCCTATCTCCTATCCTCTCTCTCATATTTCCTATCCTCTCTCTCATACCTCCCATCACCTATCTCTTATCTCTTCTTATCTCTTACCTCAAATCTCCTATCTCCTATCCCTTATCTCTTATCTTCACTCCTATCTCCTACCTCCTCTATCTCATTTCTCATATTCTAGATTATTTCTCCTGTCTTCTATCTTCTCTTTTCCATCATCCGCCATTCATATTCTATATTTCATATTAGATCATCCATTCTTCATCTTCGATTGTCCATCTTATATCATCCATCTCTCATTTCCATCTTCCATATTCCGTCTTCACCTTTCTATTTCCAATCTCTCATCTTTTCCATCTCTCATCTAGTCGGTTAGGGTAACTGCAAGTCGATCAGTCTCTACGATTCATCGCCCACTTTCTATTATTATTATGCATTAATTTTGATAGCTGCATGTTTGCAGGTCGCATAATCATGCTTCGTCGCACAGCTGCGCAAATGTTATTTAATTTGTTGTAAAAATGAAAACAAACAACGCCGCAATGAAGGTGAATGCAGGTGAGCCTACGGCCTATTTAAGGCTTTGGGCATTGGGCTTTGGGTTTTGGGGTTTGGTAGTTTGTAGCTTGCATTTGTTGCTTGCGGCACTCGCTTCGGAATACTTTTTGCTATAATTTCAGCTGAGTGCCTGCCTGCCTGCCTGGCTGGCACATTCCAAACTTGGCTTTTACATAGTTGTTGGCCTGGCTGGGCGTTGTCATAGTTAAGCCAATGTAAACTTTTTTAATTTGCAATAATAATAAAAATTCCATTTTCGGCTGGCAGAAATTTTGTAACCTCGCTTCAATTTTGTAGCCACTCGCCACGCAAAATAATTCAACAAGTTTTATGCACAGGCAACGCGCGTCGCTTGAAAATATTTGTGGCTCCTCTTTTGTCTTTTATGACAGCTCCAACACACAAGTGAGCGAGCGAGCGAGAGACAGAGTGGGGCAGGGAGGAAGCTAGCTCAAGTGAATCTCACACTTGCCGGTAGCTCAAGAGCCGTTTGATTTATGAACTTCGTGTGGCAGCAGCAGAGCTCCACAGGTAACATTTAAGGTTAGCTGTTTAAATTCACAAAAGCTTCAATTTACTACAAAATGTAGAGCAACTGCAAATTGCAGATAAGAGAGTTCAACTCTCTCTGCCAATTTATAACCAGCTGCACA